GTTAATACCCAAATTTCCCAGATTCATACTGTCTTCTTAGTTAGGACAATGCTCAGGCTTTGTCTGGATTGCGTAGCCCTAATTCTACATTCTTTGAGAGGGACTGCAATTGCCCAGGTAGTGTCCACTGGACCAGGGGGCTGTCTCCTGCGTGCTGGGATCTCAAGACCAGGGGAATCCTCATGGCTGGGGTCACACTGTACTAACCATGTAGATGGAGTTCGTGGATAAAGACCCATTTCTCAGAAGTAGAAATTTCTGGAGAAGGAAGCTGTTCAGCAGACAATATAATAATAGCCTGCTCTGCATGCTTTCATATTTAAAGCTGAGAAATAAAAACTTTAATTTATACACACATCATGCTTTTTAAAAATTTACATGATGTTAAGTTTCACTAAAGGAGAGATATAAACAATGTGCAAAAATATTTTTTTAAGTTCATATAAAAAGAGATTCAATACCAAAAGTGAAGCTAAATTACCCTCCTTTTCCTAGTCATTGAGCTAGGATAAAGGGTTGATTATCACTTGACTTTAGAGCACCAAATTAATCATTTGTGACTTTTCAACTGTTCTTGTCTGAAAACTCGAGACACTTCATTATTTTTTTTTTTCTGAGACACTTCATTTTGAATAAAGTAGTTCCAGCAGCCTTGAGGCACAGAACAGCAAGAACTGGGCCCAGAGCACTAGCCATTCCACTGAGAATCCACCCAAACCCAGAGATTTTCCAGCTTCTCACTTACAAAGAGGGCAGAGTGAACGGTGTTAACATTAGGCCCTGAAACTACTTTGTGCCAAGTTCATAAAACCAACCTTCTCTGATGACCATCAGGGAATAACGTGTAAAAGGCAAACAGATGTGGCCTTGGTCTCTCTTCTCCCAAATGAGAAGACCTGGCTCCCCTAGTGAGAGGTGGACAGGCTCCTCCTGGCCACAGCCCTCAGCGTTCTGTTCCCAGTAGATGGAACTGAAGACCTGCTGCCCTCAAGGGGAGGTAAGCACCGGGAAAGGGGGGAGGAAGGGAGGAAACGTTTCCTGTGTCCTCCACTCTTTCCCTCATCCCTGGGGGCTGCTCACTGGCAGGCGCCAACCCCCAGCGCAATCCATGCCCCAGCCTCAGGGCTCCAGGTTACCAACCAGTGCTTTCTCTCTGCCTCAGGTTATAGTGTTATAGTCTAATTTCTCTCATCACATCTCCACACTCAGCATGGGCACAGCCCTCCTGGACAGGGAACTGTTCTCAGTCCCTACAGTCAGGCTCCCCTCAGTGCTGACTGACCCCTGGACCCACCACATCCAAAGGGTCGAGAAGCATGTGGTTCCAGGCTCCGCCCAGGCTCGCTGTCTCCGCGCTGCCTGGGCCTTCAGGCTCATGGGATCAACAAGTAGCTGCAGATGCCAGCACTATAGGCAGAACTTCTGATCAAGGAAAATTCGGACATTTTCTCCGTGGCCATTTTAAAATGAGGGACACGGCCAGGCACTCATGGGCAGACATCCCCTGGGGTCCCGCCAGCTGGCAACGGTCACAAACCTCTGATGCGGGAGGAGGCAGAGCAGAGCCCAGCATTTGACCCTGCCCCCACGAGCCCTTCCCCCACGACACTTTCTGATCCCGCTTTTCACCTTCCCCTAGATTTGTTAATATATTGCTAAAACATTTCTGTTATAAACGTAACATCCTCATTGTTGAGAACGAAGTAATAAAAGGTACTTTAAAGGTAACAAAGCTATTGAGAGGAGACTCCTGGTAACCTTTTGGTATTTTCTTCTCCTGCTTTGTTTCTGTAGTTTCTACAATATGTAGCGAGAAGAGGGGAGAGTGTTACTTAAAACCTTCATTGCAGCTGCTGCAACCTTTTAAGAGAATGATGCAATTCACCACGAGGGACACTGATTTTTCATTTGGGAAATGTCTTGAAGGGGCTTCTTTAAGGGGAAAATGTAAGTAGCACTGACCTCCACCCTTCCTCTCACATGTCTAAAAGGTGAGAGTAAAATGTAGAAGAAGGCTAAGTCGAAAGACATTTTCGAAATTGTTCATTGAAAACCTAAAGCTTGCAAATGTAGAGAAAGGGTCAGATGTGAGGAGAGACTTATCCAAGTGCAAGTATTATGCCTCTGTCACTTACCTTAAATACTAAGTGATGGTATCCATCCTTGTTGGGCCCTCCTTTGACTCGACAGGACCCATGAGCCAGCTCTTCCTGTGGGCACTAATTCTGCCAAGGGACTGCCCACTCAAGCTGCCTCTTAGCTTTTAGGGCCCATCTCCCCCACTTGCTTCCATCTCCTACCAACACCATCAACACAGGCCACCTGTTTCAACTCCTTAAAGATTTGGTCCCATATTAACCACACGTGGGATAATGAAGCAGCTGATGGAGAGTGTGAGGGGGTCCTAGCGGCTCTCACAAAATCCAGGAGTTGGCTTAACATAGAGATTGATTCCTGGTGGATTAAAAGGAGAACCCCAAAGATGCCTGCCGCATTTCCCGCATCCACCCTTCCTGCCCTCAAAGCTTCTAGTTCCTCTCTTTCTCCCTCCATCCTGCCCTAACTGCCTGCCAGACCCCAGGAGAAAAGAGCTTTATCCCCCACCTCCTGCTCCTGTTATAAATAGCTCAGCTATGGCTGCTCTTCATCTGGCGGGTTTATGGGAACAAGATGATGCCAAGACCATTTACGGTGGAGCCAGTGAAGGATTAGGAAGGGTGAAGGGGCAGCCCCCTCAGGGAGGGCCTCAGCGCCAGCTGCAAGTGAGCCAGAGCACCACTGGCCCCCGGGAGCCAGCCTCAGACTCCAGATCCTGAGCCCCTTCTCCCTTTCACACACTAAGTGTGGCAGATTATTGGACCCAACTGTTCCTTCCCCAACCTGTAAAAGAACAAAACATTGCTGGCTGCCAAAACATGACTTGCACTATTTCCTCTGAGACCACGTTCCCTCACCCCCACTCACCACTGACACAGGGCTTGGCATGGGATTTGCTTTGGTCAGTGGCTATATATGCCAGGGTGTTTCCACCGGCTTTTTCCCTTCCCTCTGTAAGAACGGCATGTTCCAGGCAGGGGCTGCCCTTCAGCTGAGAGGCCACACAGCAGCCAGTGCTGGCAACCAGGGGCGTGCAGTGCGGACGAAAAGAAAACACAGTTGTCGTCAACCTCTGAGACCTGGGAGCTGTTCCTGCAGTACAATCCGGCAAAGGCTCATGTGCTGGGGTCACAGACTCAATGCTTGGGGGCAAGCAAAGAAAATGAGTGCAGCAGAGAGTGTGTTAAGACCACGGGGACGGCAGGGCTGTGGATGATGAGAGAGAAGCAGCCGACGGCTAGGCTCCAGTATTAAACTTTGTTATCAGTTAAAATAAAAAGCACTGTTGCTTTGGTTAAACATCAGAGGCAAAGATTTTAATAACACAGCTGACTGATATTTACCACTTGAAAGCTTAGACTATTAACAAACATGAAGTTAAAAACAAAAAATGACCCAACCTCAATGTTTCTCATAGTCATTTAACTCTTCAGAGATTAAAGCACCAATCTGTAGTTGTAAAACTTGGCAATTATTCACATTTCATTTCTATTTTTTGTCTTATCTAAAAGTGAAGGGAATTTATTTTTTATTTTAAAAGTTCTTTTTGAAAGTTCTTTGAGTTAGCTTCCCAAACTCCCATATAAATCTATGCAAATTCAATCAGATCTCATCAGACCACAAAAATAACCACCACCTGTCATAACGAGTGACTCCCAAATGAATGGGAATCAATAAGGGCACAGACTGAGTCCACAGAATATTTCATTTAATTGATTTTATTGTCACTGGATCAGATCTGAGATGAGGGAAATGGAAATAGCCTGGTTTATAAAGATCACACATTAGGATTTTCCTAGAGGAGAATTATAACTATGAGTATTGTAAGAGCTGACTATGTAACTTCATCTTTTCTGCCAATGGATTTCATCTTCTCCCATCATGCAATCCAGAACAAAGGAATCACTCATCCCATATCAAGCATAACAGGAAAGAACAGGGGCCAAGGAGGGCCCCTCCTTGACCGACCAGTAGGTCAAAGATGACCTACATCACCACGCCTATGAAGAAATGTGCTTCTCCATGACGTGGAAATCAGATCTGATTTTAGAACACATGGGAGGGCTTCCCTCTGGATGTGAAACTAGTAACAATAGCAGCAGTGTTTTGTTCTTTCTTCCTCTTTATCCGCAAACTGATTGTTAATGAGAAAAACAGGAGGCAGTTAACAATGAAACTCAAATCTTTAGTCTTCTCCTTCCAACTCAAGTGCCGAAATAGGACACTCCTTTCATAATATCCTGGCCATCAGGTTTTTTTTTCTTTTCTTTTTTGCCTTCGGAGTTCTTTCCAAAAGTAAACATGCTGCCTTGGCATTCTTATTACTCCTAATTTCCAGGTAGAAAAATGAGACAGATGAAGTGACATCTAAAAACACTGGGGATTATATTTTTAAACACAAGACAATAATTTAGATCTTTTTGCTCTAATTCTTCTCTATATTACCATGATGAAATATTTATCAAAGTCCAAATTACTGGTACGCAATAATGACCAACACCTTCACATTAAGGGAGGTATCAAAAAAAAAAACTCATCAACGAAGTAACTGGAAAAAAGTTTAAATATAAAATGTGACTTTCACTATTCTGTTTATACAGTACTGAAACAACCATAACATTCAAACACCCAGAAAGTGCAAAACTCGAAGTAATATTAACTAATAACTGACAACTCTGAGATACTGCAACATCTTGAAGTACTTTCTGACCAAAAACAGATGAAATTTTGTTCGGTATGACTTTATAGTGTTTTACACAGAACTATGTATTTTAAAAAACTGGTCATCCATGTAACATATACACAAAACCCTGAAATGACTGGACTATTCAAGGACTAGTATTCCACACTGCTTTGTTGTTACGGAAGAATGAGCTTAAAATTTAATGAAACACTTTTAACAAGTTCTAGTCTATAGAACGACATGTTCAAATTGTTGGTCTTATTACTTTTATTAACAAAAACCTCCCATTCCTTTATAAGATGTTTAATTCCTCCGAATATCATCTTTAAAAGGCCTGACTTGATTGTTGCCAAAATAAACTGCAGGTCAAGTGCAACCCTCCAGGCTATGGGTCCTTCACGAGCTTCAGCTCTGTATGAGCCACACGGTGACCTTCCCATGAGTTTTCCACTGGAGATTTCACAGTACTAACTTTAACACTTTCCACAAAGTAACCTGCCCTTCTCTTGGCTTTGGGTAGAATGTCATATTAATAATGGCATGTGGTGTTCCTTAACATAACCTGCCAAAATGTGATAATTTCCTTGGAAGAAAAGCCATGGGCTGCAATCACACGCCTGAGCTGACAGACATCCAGATGGATCCTGTACAAAAAGAAAAGGTTTGTGTCTTCTGGGATGTGAATGTCCACTTTTAACAAATTCAAACAAATCCCAACATACACATCTTCAAACTTGATGGGTTTCACGTGACTCATCATTTCGTAGATTCTTGGCACCAAATCTCTGGACATTATATAACCCAACCCACTGCAGTAGGGAGGAAACACCTTGAAGGGATACTCTTGGTATGAAATATGGTTTTTTTGGTAAAATCCTCTAAAGGAATAATTATCAATTAGAGGATAACCTGTGAAAAACTTCTCTGAGTGGTTTAAATTCAAAAGATACTTCACTAAATTGCCAGTATTGATAAAAACATCAGTGTCTGTCTTCATGATGTACTTGGCATTGGGGCAAAACTCAGTGACCCACCTGAATGCCATAATCGTTTTCAAGGTCAAGTTATTGTAGGTGTCTAAAAAATCTTGTCGTATTATGTCACCATAAAGGAGGTGTTCATCCTCTAAGGACAATGCTAACATTTTGTCCTCCCTTTCAGCCTGTTGGCCTAGTAAGAAAAATGTAAGAACCTCATATCCCCACCAAGACTTCTTTTCTCCCCAAGTAACTCTAATGGCCTGTCTGGCTTTCACGTCTGAGGGGTGCGAGGTCACCAAGATGACAAGAAACGGGTTCTGATGAGAGCAGTTGGAATGCTCTCGAAGCGTGAAGCGGAAGTCTTGTCTGTAAATGGGCTCGTACTCGTAGAAGTACATCCAGTTCACACGCTCCACCACGTTGTAGTGGGGCAGGCTGAGGTACCACATGACCAGGAAGCTCAGGAGCGACAGCAGCAGGAGGCTCCATTTGAGGGACCTCAGCGACATCCTCCCAGGAAGGGCGGCCAGCAGGGCCAGGGCCATCCACAGCGGCTCGGCGGCACGCGGGCTCGGGTTCTGGAAGATTTACCAAGGATCTGCTCAGTAGTCCACCACTCCAAACACACCTTCAGGTGTCACCTGATTACCTACTTGAGGAGAAAGAGTTGGGAGAACACAAGCTCCAAGGCAGAACCAAAAATCCTGACCTGAATCTACTTAACTTCATTTAACTGTAAGCAAATGGCTACCAACAGCCAAAAGTGTATTTTAGCTTTTATATGTTTTTAGGTTAAAAACATATCCTTGATTATTTGGGAAAAATTAATATTTCTTGTCTGACGTGAATAACTGTTGAAATAATTATTTACTTCTTTTTCATAATGGTAAAGAACAGAGGCAGTGTTTTGGTTTTTGTTTTTTTGTAGATCTGTATTTTAACCCCCCATTACTCATCTCTTTCTGTCTCTCTGGATATCCAGGACAAAATCATTAATGCAAGGAGATATTACCAACAACATGTCCAAATAAACCCAGGATCTTTCTCAGCTGTGTGATCTGATATGGATTCTAGCAAATCTGGAGTAAAAAAAACCCAATAGCTACAATTATTCATGGTGACTTGCTGATATGGGATGAGATAAACTCTTCTCCTGAAAGGCGCAAGTCCTCTAGACACAAATAGGATTAACCATCTCTGTAGTTTTTAAATGCACAAGACTATTAAATAGCTTTTACTTGCCCCAAACACCACCCCAGCCTCCTTTCTACCTCACTGGCTGAGTTCAGTGCTCCGTCTGGACAGCAAGTACTTAAATTCAAGACCTGTCTCTGTAGTATGAGTTTTCATGTGTTCCCCATCCTAACCTGTTCAGAAATCCTGCACCATTTAAGAAGCTTGGGCTGGAACCTCCTAGAACACTTGCTTTTACACGGAACTTCAAGCTGAGATAGAAAACAGAGCTAGGAGACACAGCACAGTCAGACTGGAGTGATGGCCACAGCCTCAGCTCTCCTTCAGATTCCAAGGAAGAGGTTGGTTTACAATTCTGGATGCCACAGGGCTTTCCCGGTGCCATGATCATGGTCCTCAGTCTAAAGACATTCATGTACTAAGTCCTAGACCTTCTACACCCACAGATTGCGCCAGGCACTAAGGAGGCCAAAGGCAGAAGGAAATGGGAGGAGAACAAATCCCAAGTCAGCACGTAAACACAGCCCAGCGATGTAGTACAGACTGCCCACGTCACATGCCAAAGGACTTCAGGATGAGGGACAGGTCAACCACACGGGGGCAGGCTGAGGAGGCTTCTGACCTTTCACCCACAGTCACCTAGGGGAAGGGTCCTAGGAACCCAGAATTTGCTATGGAGGCTGTACATTAATGATATTTTATGGAAAGGCTGGTCTACCAAGGGTTCTACCTTGGTCAGTCTGAGGTCTTTGGACACAGTTCTTCCTCTTAATACATATATAAATGGCAGGATCTTGAGACTCCTTGTCCTCTCTATCTCGCTGTATCTTATCTGCCCTGATTATTTCTGGCTACAATAATCTTCCCTATCGCTAATGCTTCTTATATTTTAAGCCCCACAATAAATGGAATGTTTTGGCGAAGTCTCCAGTTTGGTTTCATGTATGTATGTCTTGCCTCTCCACTTACAGTTTATGACCTCACTGACAAAGAACATTTTTCTTGCATGCTGAACATTGTCAGCATGCAAGACAGGGAGAGACCTACAGCGGGAGGGCAATGAACACTGACTTGCTTGATATACTATTTCTATTTGTATAAAGATAAAATGTAGATGTACCCATCCCACCCCCATCCTCCCCTCTCCCTCTTACTAGCTTTACACAGGCAGCTCCTAGAAAAACCTCAAACAGAACAGACCTAGAATTATGGCGGAGTTAATATCTTCCTACACTTTCTCCTCACCTGGCTACTAGACACTCCAGAAGCCTAGGGGGCTCCATTTAATCTCAGCCATTGATGACCTGTACATTTATTACAACAGTTATCACACGGTGGTTTTATATCTCACTCTAACAAATCCACACACTGTAACAAATTTTGGACAAATGAAAGAGAAGTGTCCTGAGTAAGGG